CCAGAGCATAATCTACCCAGCAGATAAAAACAACTTTATTGGATATAAGCAGCATTTTGGCATGAGGTAAAACCACCCTCTTTTATTGCTAAGTTACATCGGCGAATGTCATCGTTCGATAAATTGGCTAAATCTTTCGCTGGACGGGCGCCTAATCCCTTAAATAAGCTCTATAAGCCCAACAATTCCATCTCCTGCAACTGGTCTTCGATAATACTTTTCAGTGGCGAAATGACGAGAATCGCCGCATTACCATTTAGCTCGTAGTTCTTCGCGCGTACAAACATTTGGTAAATTAAACTCTTGCCGTATCCGGTCCGCAAAACCGCCAGAACATCTCTGTAGGCTAAAAGAGCCGTCACTGCTGATTCTTGCTCTGGTTTTAAAACAGTTTCTCTACCACTAGATAAATTCACATCTCTCAAAGCACTCTCTTCGACATCCACGTCTACCGCTGCCATCTCGACTGTTTGTTGATTTGTGAAACGCGCATTTCAATATGTTACTCATTACGGCTCAGCCAATCAGGAATTTGCGAACGCCAGCGTCCGCAGATATGAAAAAAAGGGGGTTCTTAGAGCAGGCGTCCCCTCCCCTCCCCCTCTCCCCAATTCCCCTCCCCTTTTTCCCTTCCTCCCTTTCCCCTACCCCCTACCCATTTCGACGCCTGCTACGCAGGCTACGTAACTACAGGTAAGGCTACGGAAATAATTGTACACTAAAACAGAAAAAAAAGGTAACTTGACTTCAATCTGTTCGTAGTCACCCTTACCAAGACCAATACTGAATAAACGGGGCATCAATTCAGTTAGGATTTAAGATATAGAGACATACACTGTTTACAGCTCGCCATTACGACACCGGAAGGAGGATCATGAGGTTATCCCTATTATATTAACATCTCTCCTTATAGATAACCCACCCAGCCCAGAAAAGGTTGGCCACACCACCGGGGTCTACTTCCCCTACTCTTTTCCAACAGTGGTGTGGGTTCTCTTACGTCCCACAGATAAGCCGTAATGTACATTTTGAGACACAATTTTGAGAAATGTTACAGTGTGTGCAGTGACCTCGTCGCGTCTGGATGATTTTTCTGATACAGTTACTCATATACTGTAATGATAACAATATTTTGGGGGGAAGGTGGGTATTTTTTTTGGGGGGGGGGGAGCATCTACCCCTCAAATACCCTAGATAGAACCCTGCCTGAGGAAGGGAAGGAAAGGTGAAAAATTAAACCAGAAAAGTACCGATTTGTTACAAAAAGCTCCGAAATTTATACATGGATGGAACGGTCATTTAGAGATTTTTAGCCGAGCTCAAGCTACAGAAAACCGTAGGCAATATTTGCTTCTTCGAGGAAAGATATTTCACATAAAACAGTCGTTGGGTACGGGTGCTGAGTTAAGGATTGCTTGCTATAAGACTAACGAATGTGTGGTAGTTATAACTGAACTTATTTTAGCCGCACTCTATGGTTGATGATCGAGTAAGCCTGCCGGAAATGAGGAAGCAAAACTACGAAAGTAATCCCTGAGACGCAGCCAAACTTTGAAAAATTCCTCCCTGTTGCCCCATAAGTGCATTAAATGAGTCCATTTCGGCCACCTGGCCTTCTCTTAATACCAAAATTAAATCACAGTCTTTGACGGTATTAAGTCGATGAGTTATGGTGATGATTGTAGAGTTCTTAAGTTTCTCATTCACGGTTGCCCAAATGGTCCTTTCTGTGTTTGGATCCACGTGCGCAGTCGGTTCATCTAAGATAACGATCTTACTCTGTTGTAGTAATGTGCGAGCTAAGCAGATCAGCTGCCGTTCACCAACACTCAGGTTTTCGCCTCTCTCTAAAAGCTTGAAGTCAAGTTGCCCCTCGAGGCCTTCAACCAGGCGATTTAACTTGACTTCTTTAAGGACATTCCATAGCTCATTGTCACTATGTTTATTCAAAGGATCAAGATTCGTCTTAAGCGAGCCACTGAAGAGGACAGGCGATTGGCTGAGTACAGAGATGCACCTTCGCGATTCTTGCAGTTGAACGCTGTTTACTGAAACATCGTCAATGATTATTCCCCCTCAGCTTCAGGCATGCGCAAAAGGGCCGCCACGATAGACGACTTTCCATCTCCTGTTCTGCCAACAATTCCCAAATTTTGTCGTCCTTTAATATTAAAGGTTAAATCCTTGAGCACTTGCGGCCCACCTGGGTAATACCTCAAGGAAACATTTGTGAAGCTCACGTGACCGTCACGAGGCCAGTTTATTGGGGGCATGCTTTCTGTTTTGTATCCTGGCTCTGCGTCGAGGTTGGTGTAGACTTTGACTCGCTCAAATGACGTCATAAAATTCTCCACATCCGAAAACTTTCGCACCGCGTATGAAGCTACATTTGTTGTTTCAATCACGTATGCAAGAGAAAGTCCAATCAAAGCTATAAACAAAAACAATAAAAAAACGCACTTAATATGAGTGTCAATGTATTTAACACGAAAGTACTAATTGAGGACACGTCTCCTTCTGGATACGGGACCGCCTTTTTACGTGGTCATCGGAGCCACTCGAAGGTCTAGCCGTTTGCAGGACAAAGGAAGTAACTCATTTCTCAGTTATTTCAAGACAGTGTTATTGGTCCGGCCCTGGGAATCGAACCCTCGACCTTCCGCTCTGCAGTCAAGTGCTGTATCGACTAAGGTATTCCGCCGCGCATAAATAATTTAATTTTTCCGATGTTCATCGAATGCCCACGGAATGCATGTAATCATGAGTAAGATTCATCAAGAAGTCTGCTTTACTGCTACCAGTAATAATACTTTCAATCTGTTCTTTAAGTAAAGAGATTTAAAGCATCAAGCTCGCATATGGTAGAGAGATTACTTAGTGGATTTGTCTAAGAGTCATTGTCTGAGAGAATTTGTGGGGAAACATGACTAATGCCCCATTCACACCAACTGAACATGTTTAAACCAAACGAGGTTTTAAAAAATAAAAAGGGGACATGGAAAACTGGTTTTAACACAGGATTCAAATGAAATTCAACCTGTTTTGTAATTTATTTGCACTAAATTTGCTGGCTTTTATGAAGGAAACAATTTTAAACCGTGTTTAACTCAGTTTAAATGCTGTTTAGTAAACAGCATTTAAACACGTTTAGCTTTGATGTGAATGGGGCTTAAGCTCCGGGGGGGGGGGGTACTCCCTTATATAGGCTATTGAGGTATGTGCGGCGCCAAAGGGTATAGGTTTTTAGCCGTTTTGGTCTGAAATAGGGTATGGTTTGTGCACCCTAGTCTTGAATTGGGTATGTTTTTTAGAAGAAGCTTCTTCTTCGTCATTAGATGATAAGACCATTTCCCTTTAAGCTCGAAAATTTGAAGATTTTTGTATCCTCCTTAATAAAAGCGTATAAACATTGTCTTTAACATTGGTCTGACCTAGGGAACTGATTATAAGGCAGGTCTGAAATAGGGTATCAAATTTGATCAGGTCAGTAAAAAGGTAGGGAAAAACACAGATTTTGGTCTGAAATAGGGTAAAGGTTTCAGGAAGAGTGCCGCATACCCCCACCCCCACCCATTTTTTCTGAAAGTACCCCCCCCCCCCACCGGGAGGGCTTAAGGTAGTTACTTATCAGGAATGAAAAGAGATGGAGCACTAAATGACCTCCGGCGGAGCTAGGCACATACGTTGTACTGAGCTTAAACTACTACGAAAAAATCTTTGATCTGTTGCCGCGGGTTTTCAGCTCTCTACTGTTTACCTTGTTCCTCGGTGACAAGAACTGAAAGTGTAGCCACTGCTGCAATAAGGAATGAACTTAAGATGTCTACTCTCACACAAAGCCATCGATTGCTGGAAAGTGTTATGGAAAATACTTGATTGTGTACATCCTGACGTCTGCAAATGAGAGAAATGGCTACAATGAGTCATTAGAGACCTTACAAGGTCGAGATTTAACGTCATTTTTATTGAAGGCTATAGGTTAAGGCACCCGAGAGCAGAGTTCTAAAACTTCTAACATTTGATAACTTGTTTTAGCCACTAAGAAATCCTCAACAAATGAGGGTACTCAACAAATGTTTATACGGGGAGGCTCCGCCCCGAGGTCCAACCCTTACCCTTTTATGTACCATTTTTTCACAAAAAAGGTATCCCTTTCGTATACCTTCTGTTGACAAATGATACCCCTTTCACATACCTTGTTTAGAACTTTGCATCCCTTTTAACTTCTGTAAATGCACTGTCTTTTAAATAGGAATCAATCACAAAACTGAATAGAACGTTTTCTCAACTTTAGAAAGCCATAAAATTTATCTGTTAGCCCTTTTGGGCCCTTTCACAGGCCCAAATGACAGATTTCCCCACCCTTTTATATACTTCAACAAGTGAAATCTCTACTCTTTCATATACCTGAGGCCTGAAAAAGGTACCCCTTTCGGGTGGAGCCTCCCCGTAAAGGCCATCATAGGGAGTACCCTCCCCCCCCCGGGCTATGACCCGTCTATTGGTGGCTCTAGCTGCTGAATGGCCTGACTTGAGTTGAAACTCTTCATGCTACACTCGGTTAATCGTCTTAAGCAGCTGGCAAGCTTGAAGGTGTTGGGTTTGATTGACCGTTATGGACAGTTTCTTTATGTTCATGTGAGACATTGACAGTTAGTGTCAATTGTGATAATTTACGCTAACCAAATATGCCGGTATGACCAACATGAATCAACTTACCGATAAAATTGATCCATGAAATCCCTTTCCCTTTTTCGAGTGCGAATGGTGTCCAAGTCAGCTATAGTCTCTGAGAAGTGAGAGAAAACAGGGCTGCGACATATTGACTGCCACCTCTTCAATTCTCTTGAAGTCTTTAAGTAATACCACGCTAAACACAAGAAAATACCAATAACAGGGAAACAAACAAAAGAGAGCCAAACATTCGTGAACGCTGGTAACACAGCGGCTGTCAACATTGACAAATTTAACTGCATGGACGCAGCAAATAGGCTCGATTACCAGCCCGCTGTTCGGGAAAATGAGCCAGCACTCATCCCGTCTCTCTTCGGGGAGGATTAAAGACCGGACCCGGGAGACGGCGGAAATCGAGCCTACGCAGCAAACAGTGCAGGTAATAGTTCGTCCAAGCAACCAATGTCTTTGGAAAATCTGTTTAAAATTCGTCCTGCTGGATTTGTGTCGAAAAATAACACCTTTGCTTGAAGAAGGCTGGATACCATTTTGTTGTGGAGGTTTTCAGCGGATCGGAGGCACATAAAGAAGAATAAAAAAACGCGAATGGCAGCGACAATCAATGCAGCGGAGACAAAACTGGCGTAGATATACCAGGTTTCTGATTCTTGCTGGGCTCCGCAACTCATCTTGGTCAAATGCGAAAGCCATAGATCAGGAGACACTATAAAAGCTTTTTGATAAAAGAATAAAAAAAAAGACAATACACGTCAAAATTTGTTAGAGCTTCATGCTTATGTCTTGTTTTCAACAGTTTTTTAAAACTTAATTTTTTAAAGAAACTATAAAATTTGGTTTTTTATTTATTCGAGCAAACACGGGTCCCCCGGGAAAAAACGCCACTCCCTGCAATAAGGGCCCTGTCCCGATCCCCAAACTACACTCTTAACTTCAAGAAAACCTTCTGAGAGCGGGTTTTATAAACTATTTGAAGCGAAAATTAATACTGACTCCAACCGCCATTATATTGTACTGAAGTTGCTATCAATTTGATTGACTTAATTCAAAACAATTATAAAATTACCCGGGACATCTAATCAGTTAACTAACGGCAATTTTATTTGAAACGTAGTTTCCAGTAAAAGAACTCAAACGCCTTAGGGTAACTTATTTTATGAAACGTGTAATGTTTGTTGAGAACTTTGTTAAAAAAAACTCAGCTCACTAACCTTGCGCGCCCACGAAGAAAGAGAGAATGAAAATCACCACTGCAGGGTGTGTTCCTGCCTTGAAATATTCCCAGTACATTGTTGCTGAAATTTTTCCAATAGCTTTCTCTTCCTCTTCGATCTCCAAATGCTCATCAAAGCTTCCAGTGGACTTCTCAAAACGTGAATGCGCAATGCCATCTTCCGTACCTAGTGTAGGAGGTGTCGGCTTTTCCTCGTTGACAGATGCATCGATGACGGCAGCAATTTCTTCTCTGCCTTGCAACTCATTAAAACTACCTTTTCCAAGCACGGATCCTTCGTGGAGAACCACAACCTGGTCAGCTGCGATCATGTGTGTCCTTGCATATGACACCAAAATGGTAATTTTATTCTGCAGTAATTTGCAAATACATTGATTAAATATGTGTTCGCAGACTTTCGCGTCCACGGCACTTAGAGGGTCATCCAACAGATACACGTCTGCATCAGCGTACACTGCGCGTGCCAAACTAACGCGTGCACGCTGACCGCCACTGAGTGTAACACCTTGTTCGCCAACGAATGTTAGGTCGCCATTTGGAAATCTCCCGACGTCCTCTCTCAGTGCGCAGGCGTCAATAACTTCGGCGTACTTCTGTTTATCATATGGCTCGCCAAATAATATATTTTCTCTGAATGTTCCGGAAAAGAGCCAGGCACTTTGTGGGACGTAAGATATATTTCCAGAGAATAGAACACTACCACGTGTTTTGGCCGCCTCACCAGCAATGGCGGCCAGCAGGGTTGATTTTCCACTGCCAACTTGACCAGTGATTACAGTTAGGCTTCTGTGAGATGAATCAAAACTGACATCTCGGAGAAGATACTTGTCGCCTGATTTACAGGTAAGATTCGAAACTGATAAACTTCCATCCCGTAGTTTACTTGCCAGTGGCTGCTCATCACCTGCATCACCGTCATGTAAAGAAACCCTTTGATTTATACAGCGGTCTTTGGGGCATGACTTTCGGATCAATAATTGATTGCTTGCGCCGTCATCGTAGTCTACGGGATCCAGGGCTACGTTATTTAAAAGGAGAAATCTCTCTATTCTTTGAAAGGAGACGAATAACTCGAATGCTAGTGGGGCACCATCAGCCAGCCTGAGAGACACTGAACGAAGAGTTTTCATGAAGGCAAGTATCATAAAGGCTCTTGAAGGCGAACGATATTCTCCTGTTAGAACAAGAGCTAGCATAGACAAAAAGGTCGCTGCTGAGCTTGCGAACAGAAAGCTACCAATGATCGACAAAAGGAAGCTCTTTTTGGTGAGCATCCAGATTTCATTCCTAGAAAGTAAACAAATAACAAAAGTTTTGCAGACCAAGATGACAGATTTCCCTACCCTTTTATATACTTCAACTAGTAAAACCCCTACCCCTTCTTATACCTGAAGCCTGAAAAAGGTACCCCTTTCGGGACGGGCCTTCCCGTGTAGGCCATGATAGGGAACACCTCCCAGGAGTTAAACATCATGATTCGGGAAAAAACGGCAAAGATAACTCATGTCGGGAAAAATAATCAGAAGTTGATTTTTGCCGTTGTGTCCCCCAGGGGTACTGCCTATTAAGAGGTTGCACCTCGGAGCGGAGCCTCCCTGTATGAAATTTTGTTGAGAACCCCCTGGGTTTCGCCTTGAACATAATGTTTAGCCGCTTCTAATGCAAACCGATGCGATTTAGCACTGTAACAGAACATTTACCATTTTCATGCATTGCATTCCTAAGCCTACTTCCATAATTTTCACCTCTCTGCAATGACAGGTGCAAGTGTTATATTAATTTGATATGTACGTAAAATTATGATCAATCATTTAGTCCAGTTCAACGAAGTGTTCGTTTCGTTTAACCCTCATTATGCTGCCACACGCTCATGAGTTCCCGCGCATTTTAGTTCATTTTGCGTCCAAAGGGCGAATTTCTATGTATTCAACGCCACCTTAACTGATTCTCATAATTCTGTCAGGGGCTTTATCGGCTGGAAACTGATATCTGCGTTGTCCCTCACTACATCACCTTAATAAGTATGCGGTGAAATCAGTTCTAACCTCTCTCCCCTCATTCCTCTGCTATTTTTAAATTTCTTACTTACCTTCTTACTTCCTGCACCTTTTCCTTGTAGTTTTCTTCCCAAGCATGTGCTTTCAACGCACGTATTCCACAGACCACTTCGCTCATTTGAGAAATACGTCGGTCCGTTACTTTAGCGGTCTTCTTACGAAGTTCAGCACAAAAGTATGAGATGATCATACAAACAGGAATTAACATCAGTATAAATAACACTCCCATTAAAGGCTGCCAGCCGATTAAGTACAGCAGTAAGCAAACGACAGCAATAAGTTCCAAGGGGGTTTTAAAAAGTAAACTGGTAAAAGGTACAGGAGCCTGTTCAATTCTTTGGACATCATTCGATATCAAGTCAAAAATGTTGCCTGTTGTTGTTTCTAGAAGGTCTTGCCGACTAACAAGAGGGATCTGCCAAAAAAAAATCAGTTTAAAACAAACTATGAATAGCTGCTTACAGTATAAGTGGAATTGTGAGTGGTCTGATCAGGAATGAAAAATTTTATAACCAGAGACACCCAACGAGAATATAGTTCGAAACCACTTAAACACAGCATTGTTAAAGTATTTTATTATTTAAAAGGTAGATATGGGCACATTTTTATCACCTAAAAATTTTTCATCAGTTCGGATTTCCTAGCTGAAAGTCTAGTGATCCCAAAGTTATAGCGATCAAAAGATTTCAGCCAGAAAAAAGCTCCCGATCGAAAATTCTAGGTGACCTTTTTAGGTTAAAAATCCGTTAAAAATGAGCAATAATACTATTTTGTAGATGTTCAAAAATCCTAGGAGAGGCAGATAAGCAAGAGATTTTACAACAAATGTTCCGAAAATTCTAGATCTCAAATCGTCTTCCGAAGAGATATTTTCCGAAAATTGACGTTGGGTGCCCCCGGTATAACTCTCTCCTCCGCATAGGCTCGTAGGAGCAAGGCGAGAGAACGTGAATCTTTCGGGTTTTGCTCCCGACCCTCCCGACCCACTTAGGGCAGAGAAAATCCAATAATGCCTCCATCGAACCTCTTCGGAGGAGAGAAATGTTATTATAAAAGTCCAAAAAGAAGAAAGGAAAAATTCCCGTATGCTGTGTGGCGCTTAGATGGTAGTGAGGAGCCAGCCCATCACTAGTGATGGGCTCCTGATAGCAGTAGATTAAAAAATAATGGGGATATTAACAACGCCGCGCTCCTCTCAAGGGTGTTTCGGCCTGGAGTAAAGGCACTGAATAAGCCTGCGGCCTGCACTGAGCAAAAACAGCAAGCATTGGTATAAAGGATAGATATCATTTAGAAGAAGGAGAAATCTAACACCAGAAAGCTCACTAATAATTCCGAGCTCCAGCTTGATAATCGATCTCATATATAACCGTTGTATTAAAATTGTTATATGTCTGGACTTACATGACAAGACTTTCTTCATAAAATTTACTACGTATCACAGCGGTTGTGACCAGAATGGATACCCTAAAATCAGGATTGTCATCTTTACTCAAAATACATGATAGGAGTCTTAAGCCCCGTGCAAACGGACGCAACATTGTTGGCCAACAACTTCCAACATTCTTGGATGTTACATGTTGCGTCCGTTTGCACACACTGTTGCATGTTGTTGCGCAAAGTTTGAATCCGGCCAAACTTTTCAGCCAACAACTCCCAGCATTTCTTTTGTTCCGTGATCGCCGAAGCGTAGCGCAACAATGTTGGATTCGTTTGCACAGCTCTTCCAGCATTGTTGGGGCCACGCACGCTTATTACGCATGGTTTACAAAGACTTATGGGTTGTATCCTTCCCATGATGCACTGCAGGTCCCAACATTGTTGGGAGTTGATGCATCCGTTTGCACACCACTGCCAACATACACGCAACAATTCCCAACATTGTTGGCGCAACAATGTTGGGAGTTGTTACGCCCGTTTGCACGCAGCCTTATAACTTAAAGTCATAAGTAAGAGAATAAAAAATGGAAGAAAACAGCAGTTAGTTTGTACGTCATGAACCCGCATCATTTGAGGCAAGTTCCACATCCGTATCCACTACACCATCAAGGGCTAACTGCCGACACCGTTAACTAATTTTAACTTACTTACTTAACAAAGCTTTGATACATTTTTGAAACCGTTTTTAAAAGAGTGCTTAACCCTATCACTCTTCTTTGCTCATAAACCCAATATTCAACTCTTTTCCTTGCACAACTTTACCTCACTCTGATTGTCCTCACTTTTCTCAAAAATCTGCCCAATAAATTCGCATAAATTGTTCTCTAGGAGGAGTATATAGCGTTGTGTAACAAACATAAGGTGTCCACCCTGATTTTTATTAAGGTATCCATTCTAGTCACAACCGTATTATTACAGCGTTAAAGTTCTCACCTTGAGATAGATGATTCCCTTGAGGGCGCTGCTTGTCCTCATGCCTAATAATTCAAGATTATAGACAGAGTATTGTTTGCCGAAGTAACAGAATCCAATCGATGCTAAGAGCCAACAGCACGCGTATACTAGGGAAAGATTTATCTCATTGGAACTTAACATGCTAAGGAGAAATCCGATTAAAAGCGGTTGTGTTATCCGAAAGAAGGATTCGAAGACCCAAACGCTCAAATGAAATAGCGTTACTTTGGAAACTAATGTTCTTAAAACACATCTCCAAAGTCTGGGTTGTTTTCCCTGGGAGTTGTTCCATTTAAGTAGTTGGTCATTCCATTCTTTCTGAAGTCTCTCTGTTAGGTCACGTGCTTTGTCGTCCTCATGAAGTGGTAGAAAATCTGATTGGTTCAGAGGCCGCTTATTCCCTTTTGAAAATATATTGTTCATCCACCAAAAAGTCAGAAGAGACAAAAGATTTGCAGACTTTGTAGGATGAAAAGACTGATTCGTGTTATCTTCATTGGTTGCTAGGGTCTCGTAACCCTTTCTTGACATTTTTCTGTTGGAAGAAACAAAAGGAATATTAAGTTCTAGACTGGGGGGATACACCCTATGATGGCCAATACAGGTAGGCTCCGCCCGAAAAGGGCACCTTTTCCAGGTTTTGAATGGGTCGGGATTTCATCAGTTAACGCATATGAAAGAATATAAAATCTGTCATTTCGGCCTGTAAAAGAACCAAAAATGAAACAAGGACTAACAGACGCTTTTTATGGATGTGAAAGAGACGAGAACTTCCTGGTTTAACGATTTATTCATATTAAAAAGACCATGCATTTTGACAGAAATTAGAGGGGATGCAGTGTTCTAAAATAGGTATGTGAAAGGGGTAGCATTTTTTACTAGAAGGCATAAAAAGGGGTATCTCTCTGTCAAAAATTGCTATATAAACTTAGTGCTGAAAAGAGTAAGGGGTTGGACCTCGGAACATAGCCTTCTCCGGCCATAAAACCTTATTGAGTACCCGGCTACCCACCGGGGTTCTAGATGCAGTTTCTTCTTCAGGATGCTTTTCAATAAAACTATTTTTCCGAGGGACCAGTCTTTAAGTGATTTGTTACTCTATAGCTGGAAATTCTGAAGATGGATATTCATTAAACCTCGCTGTAACGGCGGTGATCGGTCAACCTTCGCGGGTAACATTGCAATGTTACCCACTGACGTCATAGATTTTTTGCAATGTTGCCCGCTCAGAAATTTTGGCGTGAAACAGTTTCATTGTTAGATGTCATGTGACCTCCAAGTAACCAATGAGACCGCGCGCTGTTGAGAAGAAATTTCCAGCTGTATAACAATCCAGCTTATAATCAGAGTTTAAATTAGGCAATTTGTTAGTTCACCTGACGTTATATCCGCTTAACCTGCGATCAGGGGTTTTGTTTTGTTTTTTGCCCGCACATTGGCTTGTTTGCGCGACCGACCACAACTGCCATGCTACGCAGGCTAGCTTTCTTTTTCCTTCTGCCTTTCTTCTTTTTTTTTTTCGTTTTTGCTTTGTTTTGTTTTGTTTGCTTATTTGTTTTGTCGTTGTTGTTTTATAAATATTTACCTAAATGACTGTTATTTAAGAAAGTGCAATAAACAGCAAGAAATGTATGTGCAATCAAATAGTGACGAGATAGTGAAATAATTTAGGGAATAGTTTCACGCGCGTTTTGTCCATCATATGATACAAATTCCACATCCGTATCCACCACACCATCAAGGGTTAACTGCCGACACCAGTAATTAAATTTAATAAAACATTGATCATTACATTATTGAAAGCTAACCGTTTTTAAAAGAGTGCCTAACCCTAATCACTCTTCTTCGGTGCTAAATCCTGTATTCAACTCTTTTCCTTGCACAACTTTACCTTACTTTGACTTCCCCACTTTTCTGCCCAATAAATTCGCATGAATGGTTCTTAACGTGGAGTATGACGTGGAACAACCGGATTTTAAGATATCCATTCTAGCCACAACCGTATCATTACAGCGTTAAAGTTCTCACCTTAAAGATGATTCCCTCGAGGGCGCTTCTTGTCCTCATGCAAAGTAATTCAAGTCTATAGACAAAGTGCAATAAACAGCAAGAAAATTTGTATGTGTAATCAAATGGTGAAGAGTGAGATAATTTAGGGAATAATTAATCCTAATAATTTCCCTAGCCTTTTCCCTAATTTCAAGAGTATGCCATTTGATTACCTATTAATATAACAGGTGACGAATTACGCTTGCAATCGTGGATTTTTGACATCTTTATCCTGGTTTTATCGCATGATCTGGGAACTCCACGCCCTCAAAAGTTTAGACCTTAAATTTGACTTAAGTTCAGAATTTTTGAATGTCTCTAAAAAATAACTGTAGAATCCTTTTTGATGTGCTCTTTCGTTAGCATGAATTTCAGACGATTATTTCGAGGTCGTTTTAACTCCCTCAGTAACGTCTGAATCGACCGGCCGTTAATGCCGTCCAGTGACATCACTACTCCTTTGGTTTAATAGCCCACGTTCGATCTATTAAAATTCTAACATGACTCCGAAGCTTTAGGGTCAAAACTGGAAACTTTTTACCACTCCATTATCTCGCAATTCCCCGGCGCAATTCCCAGAAGAGATTTGAGCACAAAGAATACCAAACCAAATATAGAAAAATGACCAGAAAGCCTCGAAGTCATGTTAGAATTTTGAAATATCGAACGCGGGCTATTTATGCAAAAAGTAAAACACGATTTCAACTGGCAAACAAAAAAATATCGTCTGGAAATGTCTACATCATACAGAATTGCGTTAAATTTTTAGATTGTAATTCATGTTTAACGTTTAAACTGTCAACTGTATGCGGTACTCTGAAGAAATCTGCTCTATTAATTTCACGAATCAAACTCGATCGCAATCACACTATGAAAGAAGCTATATATACTTGGTCTTTAACGAAGAGAAGAAAGAAAACAAGAAAGAAATTTAAGCAAAGCTAACAGAATCATCACACTTGACGGTGGAAACTCAAATCTCAGAAAACTTCACACAAACAATGTAACTGCCGAAGCCACAAAGCGGCTCTAAATGAAAAACCTACCGTGGCATGCGATCCGCTGATTATCAAACCACCGTGATCCCGCTAAAATTTCTCATAATTATACATAATTATGCGAATGCTTGGACAATCAACCATTCAAAATCACCATCCGGTTTTCGGGTAGTGACGTCACTAGAAGGCATTATTCAGACGTTGCTGAGAGGGGAAAACGACTCGAAGTAATCGTCTGAAATTCAGGCTACTCTTTCGCGTGTTTAGGTTTTCTCAAAAGTCTTTTAATGTCCTGATATCTTCATTCACAATATTTAATGGCTCCGTCACCATCTTGGCACTGAGACGTACGGAAGTTTGCCATGGCAATTTTGTAATATCACTTGTGAAATTATAAATTACCAATCTGAATTTCTCTGCGGTTTCCTACAATTTACTGTGGAAAAACCAAAGTTGCTATAAACTATTTGATTATTTTCTAAACAACGTACCCACGAGTACTAGTTGACGATAGTCTTCCTTTGATTGAGCGTATTGCGAGAAGATCATAAGTCCGTAACGAGTTTCAACATGACTGGCTCGTTAACGTTTTGGCGTTAACTACAGTTGTTCCTTTCCCCCTGTACATTTTGTACATTCCTATTTTGCTGCAATATATTCTACAAAACTAAAACATTCCTTCAGCGTCTTTCATTCTTTCACCAAAACTAAAACAGTAGCCACATGCAGTCACAGACTCCCTTATATTATGATCATTACGTTCTCTGATCTCATGATCAAAGCTTGAGCTGTAAAATCGCAAGGACCGTGTTAATTCATCACGCCGTGCAAAAGTTACTTATTATAAATATCCTGTAGTATAAAATCTTTTAGCATTCACCTGTCGTTCACCGTACGAGTCCGCAAAATTATCCTTCTCTTAAATCTTTGGGACTTTCTGCAGGTACCGCCAACACAGAACAAATCACGATCACTGTATGTTGTCCGCCCGAGCCTCGGGCTACTTATACAATGCCCTCTCTTTAAACAAAGGACCCGAGAGCATGATTTTCATCTTTTATTTCAAGCGATGCATGCATAATAAAAGAAGCAGAATCAAAGTGAGTTAAATTTTTTTTTTCAAGTACAAGAAATCGGAATACTTTCCCACTGCTAATAAGGGCTAACGAGGCACAGAAAAGGATAATGAGGGAGTTATATTTGACGTAAAAGCGGATGATGTCTAAACCGATACGAATCACTTATCATGCATGTCTCTCTGTGCTACTCGATCAATAAATAACTTGTCACTTGGTGAGTTTTCCAATGGACGGTGCTTTAAAACCAAAACAGTTTTGGCACGAAGAGACCAACGACCTCAAGAGTACTTTTAAAGCTCTGAAAAATGTATTCTGAGCGGCCTTATAATTTCATTATCTGTAACGTAACGAGTTTCAAAATGACTGACTCGTTAACGTTTTGGCGTTAAGTACAGTTGTTCATTTCCCCCTGTACATTTTGTGCATTCCTATTTTGCTGCAATATATTCTACAAAACTAAAACATTCCTTCAACGTCTTTCATTCTTTCACCAAAACTAAAACAGTAGCCACATGCAGTCACAGACTCCCTTATATCATGATTTGCGTTCTCTGATCTTAAAGCTTGAGCTGTAAAATCGCAAGGACCGTGTTAATTCACCACGACGTGCAAAAGTTACTTATTATAGATATCCTGTGGTATAAAATCCTTTAGCATTCACAAACTCGACTCTGCTGGGCGTGTCGTTTACCGTACGAGTCCGCAAAATTATCCTTCTCTGAAATCTTTGGGACTTTCTGGTACCGCCATCACAAAAAAAAAAACAAATCATGATCACTGTATGTTGTCCGCCCGAGCCTCGGACTACTTATACAATGCCCTCTCTTTAAACAAAGGACCCGAGAGCATTATTTTCATCTTTTATTTCAAGTGATGTATACATAATAAAAGAAGCAGAATCAAAGTCAGCTAAATTGTATTTTTTTCAAGTACAAGATATCGGAATACTTTCCCACGGTTAATAAGGGCTAACAAGGCGTAGAAAAGATTAATAAGAAAGTTATATTTGACCTAAAAGTAGATGATGCCTAAACCGATACGAATCACTTATCAGGCATGTCCTTCTGTGCCACTCGATCGCTAAATAACTTACTGTCACTTACTGAGTTTTCCAATGGACGATGCTCAAAAACCAAAACAGTTTTGGCACGGAGAGCCCAACGACCTCAAGAGTACTTTTAAAGCTTTGAAAAATGTATTCTGAGCGGCCTTATAATTTCATTATCTGTTCTATATTCGTTTCCTAGGGCAACTTTAATTGTTAAACCTTTTCGAATTTATTAGGGCTTTCCTTATCATTTTCTCGAGAATCTTAGACACTTTTAATTGTAATAGCTATGTTGTGTACAGCTCCAGGCTCAGGGCGACCTGGGTGTGCAGCTCTGTACAGCCCCCTCCCCACCCC